GGTGTATGACCATAACGCCCATTAAGCGCCACCCAGCCACAGTTCCCTCCCTACCAGGAGCTCAAGTTCCATCACCCTCTCTTCCATGGGCTGCTCTCCCAGAAAAGGCATCCGCAGAGCCACTTGTTCCTGAGAGTATTGCTGTCATAGAAACATAGAATGTGACCGCAGATAAGAACCATTCGACCCATCTAGTCTGCCCAATTTTCTAAATACTTTCATTAGTCCCTGGCCTTATCTTATAGTTAGCATAGCCTTATGCCTATCCCACACATGCTTAAACTCCTTTACTGTGTTAACCTCTACCACTTCAGCTGGAAGGCTTTTCCATGCATCCACTACCCTCTCAGCAAAGTAATACTTCCTGATATTATTTTTAAACCTTTGTCCCTCTAATTTAAGACTATGTCCTCTTGTTGTGGTAGTTTTTCTTCTTTTAAATATAGCCTCCTCCTTTACTGTGTTGATTCCCCTTATGTATTTAAATGTTTCTATCATATCCCCCTGTTTTGCACTTCCCTCTTTCTACTGCTAATACCTCTCCCTATACAACCAAGCATTCTGCTAGCATTTCCTGCTGCTCTATTACATTGAGAGGGAGAGAGCCTCTCGGTTTGGGAGGCTCTCTCCCTGCTGAACCTGAAATCCCTCCAGGAACTTGTACCAGAGTTCTTTCCGGATTGCATCCTTCCATTCCAGGTCACTCTCCTCTGAGGCAGGACCATAATCCTTGGGCAGAGCTTCTTGCAGCCTCCGATGGAACTCCTCCTCATATTGGGGAAGCTGCATGAGTTCTAGCTCGCTCCATCTCCACAAATTCCAGGAGGCATGGAGGGATCCCAGAAGCATCTTAGGTGTAAAGAGCCATTTCCCCAGTCGCTAGGAAGCAATCTCATCGCTGCCACCAAATGTGATGGAGCTCCCTGTACCCCGGCTGGGTACCTCCGCCAAGCTTTCTTCCTTGATGGAACTGGGAAACCTGAAGTGCTTCTGCCCCAGTTTCCACAACTTGACTGGGGTCCTTCTGGAGTTTTTTCCACCCGACCAGACTGCAGCTCTCCTTCCAGGCAGGTATCGTCCCCTCTGGCTTTAACACTGCAACCTTGATTCCATGCAGATCTGGTCACCTCTGCCTTTTCCGCTGCAGCCCTTCTTCGAGGCAGGTATCCACATCCGCCTGAAATGTTACAGGCATTAAAAAGAGACTTGCTGCTCTCAGGCCTAGCTCTCTTGCTTTATCCCAAAGCAAACAGTTCTGAAGGCTCTGTCACTGGAATCCCAAAAAATCCACACAGGACACAAGTTCCAAAATGAACTAACATACCATTCTTTATTTTTAGTCTGGACTAACCCATATGTTCATAACATTTAGATTAATGTGACAAATAAATAAAAATACAAACAGTCAAATGGACACAGGGGGACTTAAACATAGGAATCATTGAGATACCTAATTGAATTGTCCATCTTAAGCTCTTGGTGATGGTGATTACCATCGCAGTGACTATTAAATGATATAAGCATTAATGAATAGGAAGCATCAAGCATAGAAACTGGTACTAAGTAATTATGGCTTTGATGTAATATTTTTGGATAAACTTTGCAAATGATTTAATATTATGAAAAATATTGGATTTTGTAAAAATTATTTTGATATTTAATGATACATTGATCTATTTTTTACATATGATATAATTTTTGATTTTCTAATGTTTTAAAAAAAATCATTTTCAAAGTTTATCTAAAAACAGTCAATCATTTGAAAATCTTGACTAAAATTATTAAAACGAGGCCTCTAGTTGATATGTGGATGAAAGTTGTAATCAACTCATATTACATTATTATTATTATTATTATTTATAAAGCGCCAACAAATTCTGCAGTGATGTACAATGGGGTGGACTAACAGACACGTATTTATAACCAGACAAGTTGGACACACAGTAACAGAGGGATTGAGGGCCCTACTCAATGAGCTTGCATGCAAGAGGTAGTGGGGTATTGTGACACAAAAGGTACGGGTGGGCTAGAAAAGTAGGTTGATGGGATAGTATTACCTGAGGGTTTAATGTTTTGTTTTGATGAGAGTTGCAGGAGAGGAATTAGGGTGCGGGAAGGTAACGCTGTTAACAGTTTTAATTCATATACTTTCCTAAAGAAGTAAGTTTGCAAAGATTTTTTGAAGGAGTGGAGACTGGGTGAAAGTGTAACAGAGAGGGGAAGGGTGTTCCATATAAATGGTGCTGCCCTAGAGAAGTCTTTAAGGCGAGCATCAGAGGTAGGTGTACGAACAGAGGTTAGACGTAGGTCATCAGCAGAGCATAAGGGTCTAGACGGAACATCTTTGTGTTTTAATGTGGATAGATAGGTTGGACAGCATTGTGTAGAGGTTTGTAAGAAAAAAACAGGATCTTAAATTGAGCCCTATATCTTACGGGAAGCCAATGTAGGGACTGACAGACAGGGGCAGATCCAGAGCCTGATCTTGGGAGGGGCACTTGTACATTATTTAAAGAAATAATCCATGCACAATAACCACTGCAGCTCTGAATAAGAACAGTTTGACAACTTACCTGGGGTCTGCTGGGATATGGGGCTGTAGTAGGGCATAGGAGCAGTGGTGTGTGTGAGTGGTGAAATGTGTGAGGGGTGCAGTGTGTGTGAAAGGTTCAGTGTGTGTGGGGGCTGTAGTTTGTGAATGTGTAGGGTGTGGGGGCAATGTGTGTATGGGGCTGTGTGTGTGGGGGTCAATTTGTGTGGGGGCAGTGTGTGTATGGGTGGGCAATGCATGTGTGTGTGGGGCAGTGTATGTGTGTGTGGGGCAGTGTGTGTATTGGGGGCAGTGTGTGAATGTGTATGGTGTTGTCAAGGTAGTTTACCCCTACATGCAAGATTTAGTCCAACAATCAACAGGTAGAGCAGATACGGCTTACCGGACCTTAGAATGGCCGGACTCGCCGTATAGCAGAGAATAGACAGAGTCATGAACAAGCCGAGGTCAAGGGAACAAAGAGCCTGCGAGAACAAAAACTAGCCAATGTCTGGTACACAGTAGTCAGTAAGCCGGCAAACAAGACAAAACAGGGACAGAGAGATAAACGGAGTCAGAATCAAAGCCAAGGTCAAGCACGAAAAACACAACTAAACACAACAAGCGCTAAAGGGAACTGAAACACAAACCACGATAGGGCAGGGAGTTAAGGGAGAGGTAAGTATAAATACCCTAAACTTTACTTTGATTGGCCCCTGTCATATCCACGCCCCCAAAATGTGAGTGTCTGGGGAATGTGGGATGACAGGGGCCAATGGGAGACCATTGTATTATTTGGCTCCCCCTGCCCCTTTAACAGGGTGCCCGAGAGCTTCATTTGAGAGCTGCACCTTCATTAAAGAGGACCTCGGCCGGCCCCCGGGTAAGGTAAGTATCGCTACAGGTGTGTGTGGGGGCAGTGTGTGTATGGGGGTCAGTGTATGTGTATGGGGCAGTGTACGTGTCTGTGGGGGCAGTATGTGTATGGGGCAGTGTATGTGTGTGTGGGGGCAGTGTGTGTGTTAGGGACAATGTGTGCATGGGGGCTGTGTGTGTGTGTGGGGCAGTGTATGTATGGGTGGGCAGTGTATGTATGTGTGGGTCAGTGTATGTGTGTGTTGGGGCAGTGTTTGTATGTGGGGGCAGCGTGTGTATGGGGGGGCAGTGTGTGTGTGCAGTGTGTGTGTGGGGGTGTGTGTATGGGGAAGTGTGTGTGTGGGGGCAGTGTGTGTATGGGGGCAGTGTATGTGTGTGTGTGTGGGGCAGTGTATGTGGGGGCAGTGTATGTGGGGGCAGTGTATGTGTGTGTGTATGTGTATGTGGGCAGTGTGAATGTGTGGTGAAAAGGGTAAAGGGCTTTTTTATAATTTAAAAAAAAAAAAAAAATTTATGTTCCCCCCTCCCTTCTTACCTTTACTGACAGAGGAGGGGGGACATATCTTGATCCCTGGTGGTCCGGTGGTGAATCCCTGGTGGTCGCAGTGGTGAGAGCTCCAGGGCTAGAGTTGACTCTTGCGAGATCCGGAGCGTTGTCATAGTAACCTCAGTAACGCTACGTGCTCACGAGAAAAGGACCTGGTGGAGCTGCAGGCTGAGCGCACAGGTCCTCTCTCACTCCCTCCCCTGCCTGCTGCCAGCACGGTGCCTGCGGACCAGGGATGGAGATCTCCCCTCTGGTCCGTGAAGGCGCATTGCAGGGCTGGAGCTTGGACCGTGCCACCCCTGCATTAGCCCCCTCCCCGGATCCACCAGTGCTGACAGGAAGATGAGTCTCACGTCCACATTCATTATAGATATTTACAAGGCAAGTTGGGAACCACTGAGAAGTGGATTACAGTAGTCAAGGCGAGAGGACAGTGGCATGGACAAGCCCCTTAGCCGCAGCAGGCGTTAAATAGAGGCATATGAGCACTATGTTTTTGAGATGGATATAAAATATAAGTTGTCTTTTCACTTATTTAAGAACAGGAGATAGTAAAATATAAACTCTTTATTTTTGCTTGTGTATTGCAGATAACTAATCATCTTTTTATGTCTTTTAATTGTGTAGTCATGTTAAGTTAAAAACTACTTAGAAAAGTTACATTCTGTTCTCTCTTCTAACAGGAATCCTAATCCTAACAGGAAAGACTGCAACATATCTGTGCTGCTGGAACTGATTGGAAGTTACACAGTAGACATGTGCAATTCGTTTCATTCCGAATGCAAATTCGGATTAATTTCGGAAGTTCGGACATTAGGATGCTTCCGAAAGTCCTAACTGGCGAATTATGGAAAGCCGAACCGAATTGTTGAAGTACTGAAGTGCCAAATTTCCGAAGTGTTTTGGATTTCTGAAAAGTGGCAAAACAGGAGAGGGTTGGGGTTAGGGTAGGGTTAAGGGTGGGGGTAATGGTTGGGGTAGGGTTAGCGGTTGGGGTAGGGTTAGGGTTAGTGTAACCCTAACCCTATTCCTAACCCTAACCCTAGCCTCTAACCCTACCCTACCCCTACCCTACCACTAACCCTATGCTAATCCTAACCTTACCTTTAACCCTACCAAAACCCTACTCCTAACCCTGCTCCTAACTCAACTCTACCCCTAAGCCTACCATAACCCTACTCCTACTCCTAACCCTACCACTAACCCTACCCTAACCCTACCTCTAACCCTAGCCCTACCCTAACCCTACTCTAACCCTACCTCTAAGCCTTCCCTAACCCTACCCCTAGCCTAACCCTATGCCTAACACTACCCTAACCCTATCCCTAACCCTACCCTGCCATAACCTACCCTACTCCTACCCCTAACTTAACCCTAAACCTACCCTAACCCTACACTTACCCCAAGTCCCGAAGACCCGAAATGCCAAAGTGTCGAAGTGTTGAAGTGCCGAAATGCTGAATTTCCAAAGTGCCGAACTGAACCAAAGTGCCAAAGTCCAGAATTTCGGAATGCCGAACCGAACTAAATATTTTTCCCATGCACATCCCTATTACACAGCATTTTTAATTTTAGTTTTGCTTTTTTTATTCTGGAGCACAAAATGATAAAATGATGATGGTCATTTCTTTATATGAGTTCTTTCAGTGTGATGAAATCTCCCTCATGAGATACTGGTATACTGTTGGTTTCGACTCTACCACATTACATTTTCCACCAATGATAAAATTATCACTGACCAAATGGCCATCACTTGTCAGTGGAAAAGAAATTGAGCATGAACATGGATGGTGGATGTACTGGTGGATTGATAAAAAGAATGGTGCAAAGTAAGCGAAAATGATTAGAGAGGGAAAATTATTGTTTACAGGGATTACATAGGAACAGAGGTATTGCTGTGTGGCAAAAAATGTAAACTATATGGATCTTCCTGTATATATTGATCTATACCTGCTGAATTAAATACCCCCGCACTATGCTATATTATTAACTCCAAACATGGTTCATTAAGGTGGGATTGTCACAATTCATTTAATTTGAGGCATGAGTTCTCGCTCAGTATTACGAGGGTCAACAACAAAATGGTGCCAAAATTAGACTTGATGCTTGGCAGGACCCCACTCAGGTCTTTAACTCCTGTCAGCCCGCATCTAGCGATGTCTCTGTCTGGGAAAAAGGAGAAACTTCGCCAGATAAAATTGGTTTACCCAACATATCTAATAAACACATATCTCCTTGCAGCTGGGGGTACAGCCACAGAGGTACAAAAATTAAAATTATTTACCATTACCTTTTGAAAAATAAAAGTTGTGATGGCTTTCTTTATAGTATGTTCTACCAGTTTTGCAGAAATTTCTTTTACAAAAAACTGCGAAATTTTTCTAAGTTGGAAAATTGTCCCATCCCAGTTTTGGATCCATGTCTCACCATACATGTTTTTTTCTCTGGTGACCTGTTTCTGGGGATTGCAGTGCAGGCACTTAATATAACACAACACCAAACATGTAAACCCATTGCTGTCAATTTCAGACATGTATCTTTTACCTCTACATGTGTAACCACGGTATCATGGTTGGCAGAGTTGGTTATAGGCTCCGTCTGCATACACGCTTGACTGACATGCAATTTTTGGAATGGTCTCCTCCCATGTAACTCCAGTTTGTCAACCTTCTTCCTGTGTAGGTTTAATATTGCTCATAGTGGCAGGTATGAAATTATAACTCTTGCAATGCTTTGTCAGTCTATATAGTAGCAGAATGTCAGTTTCTGGGATCTTAAAATAACTTGTTAATATGGTAATGGTGAAATAGTTTAGGTTATATAGAACCTAAAATCACGGTCTTGATGTTCACATGTGATTGATGAATTAACTCTGTGGCCTAGTGGGTCAGCAGTCAAGGGTTATATGTATTGCTTAAAATTCAGTAGAATCCAACGTGACAAAATACATTATCAATACACTACAAAATGCTTCTCCTATCATACATATAATCTATAACATTTATAGAGAAACAGCTCAAAACTTCATGAAACGAAACCAAACAGAAATACACGTACCCACTTTTTCTATATATTTTTTTAAATAACCTATACTGTTTTATACTATTTTGTCTCTCCCGTCTCCCCAGCCCACCGATGACACACACAGCATACTTTGTTTTTGTTTTTTTCATGTTGTATGTTTCTTTTTATGTTGTACATATTGTAATGTAATGTATATATTGTGTCTATTTCTATGATCCGATAATCTTTCTTTAATTCTTGTATAAGTTGTAAATTTATAATAAATAAAATTTTTAAAGAATAAATAGATTTAGTCGTATTCGAAAAAACTATATTGCTTGTGATCAAGTTTATTCGACCCTCTGAAATAGTTTTTAGCCTGCATGCAATCTGTCAGTGCATGTGAAAGGCAGGACTGATGTAAGTGCTTGTAAATGTGATGATGGTATGCTTTATGGAATGGTATGTTTTATCTCTATCCTTTTAGTGTTTTCGTTTTAAGCAGCTGTTCTGTGCATCTGCTTCTCATCTTCTTTCTTCTGTGTTTCCGTGCATGCCAGCCATCTGTTTTTTCACGATACCATAGTAAGGAGTAATCTTTTTGTGAAATCAGAAAATAACTTCACTGATACAGCAACATATTTCTTAAATACAATTAAAATCTGTAACAGTGAGTTATCATCACGCTAGTTCTAGCACCTATGACTAAGTGTCAATTGGCTCTGAGTCTTGATGTTGTCACCCTTACACAGTTGGGTTTTCTTCTGTCTTATGCCGACTAAAATATTGATTTTTGATTTATAGGCTCAGAGTAGTTTAATGGTATCATTGATAAATATTGCCAGATATCTTGTTTACTATATATATATATTTTTTCCCCTTACATTTAACATTTGGCCAACTTGCCTAAAAAGGGCAGGGGTGCAGCAGTGGATACGTGGATGTGGAACCTCATACTAAACCATCTACCACCTGCGCTTACCTTTGTATACATGTCTTTTCTCCATCTCCTTCAAGAGCCACTACCCTCTTTTCCTTTCTCTTTTTCCTCGAAAGGTCAATTACCTTTTTCTGTGCTTTTTTACATGAAATGTCACCTCTCACCCAACTCAATTACATGGAGGTGAAATAACACTTTATAATTTATACATTACATTAAAATACATTATAATATATATTAAAATGCATACAGAATATTCATAGTAGGTCCAGACTGGAGGGGCAGTAGTTAAGGATACCAGTTATACTTTTGTATATCATGACTGGTTCTTACCTTGTGCGGGGCATTGACTATTGGAACATGCCAGACCAAGGCACGAGTGACATTGCACAGTTTACTACAAAGGATGGTAAAATGTACCCAGGGTTTAACTAAAAATGTAACTTTTAAATTGATTTTATTTCTTTGAAATCAACTACTACTGGTTATATAACTGTATTACATGTCACAAAACCAAGAAAACCAATGATGAACACTGGTATTGTGTACCCTTTCTTGTTATAAACAATTTTTTGAACATTTCAAAACGTCCCTAATAATAAAGTATTTTAACAGGTTTTTTTTTTTTAGAGAAAACAGCCCAGATGCCTTAATATACTCAAACGTCTTGCATCTGTTTATTTTCAGAGGCCTATGTGACAATCAGAATGCATTGTTCTACCCGTACAATCGTTGGTAATACAATCTATATAGATATTGAAGCAAAGCCGGATAGGTTTATAATACAAGCCCGCTTATTCTCAAATGCTTTTTTAATGAAATAAGTATCATAACACTGCAGATAATTCTAATTTACTTCAATATTCTCAAGGTAATCCATTTACAGGCTGCCAATAACATATTACAGAACAAAAAAGTAATAAGTACATTTATAAAAAGGATTGTTTAAACTGTAAGGTGGACACTTATCTTCTGTACCCTTAAAATACCTTTTAAAGATGACCTATAATTTGAAAATTATTTTACATTTATCAGTGCTTCATGAAAAAGTCTCTAAGGCTTTTTTTAAAGAAAAAATGGGAACTGTGAACACATGTAATAACAGCCAATTAGGAAGAGGAAATCCGATACATTCTCGATCATGTCCACGGAAGGACATATTGTACACGTTGGTCTGACCGGAAAAATTCCAGCCATTGTTAATATAAAGAAAATGGTTTGCACAATGTAACCTGGCTACCAAGGAGAGTGGACTTCAATGCGCATGTTCGAACAATGATGACATCACTGTACTAGTCATTGTAGGCGCTAGACGCCTTTGAGTGTGCATCTGTATGGCTGTCGCATTCAAAATGGACTGAGCAAGTAGAGCAACGAACCTTGAAATATTGCGTTAAGCTTGAACATTCCTTCATGGTAACTATTCAAATGATTCAGAAGGCTTTCAGGGACAATGCAATGCAAATAGAAGTGTGGCACAAATGCTTCAAAGATGTTTGAGAATTTGTTGAAATATTTGGTACCCTGCAACTCCTGGCTTTTCCCAAAACAAAAAACACCTTTGAAAGGAAAGAGATTTCAGACTTTCGATGAGATTCAGGTAAACAGTGGAAGAGACACTGGGAGAACTGTGTAAGGTCCCAAGGTGCCTACTTAAAAGTAGACTGAGATGTCATTGTCCTATGTACAACGTTTTTTGTATCTACCAGAAATGTCTTTATTTTTTCATCTTTCATGGCTTGATTATTGTATCTATCTAATATATATATATATATATATATATATATATATATATATATATCTGTGTGTATAAATATTAATTTGGTCATTTTCTTGTATTATATCGTTTAAAACCTGTTGCTCTAGAAGCATCCATTAAAAAGAATAACAAATTGTAATTTGAAGGAGACAAATTACATACAGTAAATACGGAAGACCCTGCCCAGAAAAGTATTACCTATACTTTAGATTATAGCGTAAAATGATTATTCTGAAAACTTTGAGATGTCTTTAATAATACTTATTAAACATTTAACACAGCAGAAAGACACATTTTCTTGTTCCACGAATGTCTGTTGTGTTTTCTTTGTCTGCATGATTATAATGCAGACATGAAATTAAAATGTTTTGTTGTGCATGCTTGTTAATGCTCATAAATGGTTTCTCCCCCATCTGCTAATAAAAGACATGTGTTGTGAATGGCAAGGGAATAATTGTTATTATGATAATTTTAAAGCACTAACATATTACACAGAGCTGTTCAAGGGCTAATGAATCTGCTCACTGACCTCAGAGTTTATTTTGGCTGAAATGTATTGTAGCCTTTTGGAGGTCCATTAGAGATGTGCCAACATCCTTCTCTGCTTTTTGAAGTTTTTTTCTGTTTGTTGAAACTGAGTCCCACCGGCTTCAGTTGAGGCATTGATTCACACTTAACTAACACTCAAGAGGACAAAACCACACAAATCTCTTAACTGAGATTTCATTTTCATTTACAAGTTTGAGGCAAATAATGAGTTTCTGTAACAAGAGCAAAGGTAGTTGTAAATATGAAACATGAGAAAAAGTTATATATGAAAATATCTTGGTTTATTAAAAAACAACCACTTGTCACTCTTTGAATATCCTTTCAGTTTATGTGGATTTGTTTTAAGTGTTGTAGCATTGTGACACTAGTAAAGATAAATAGGATGGACAACTCTGAACTGTAATTATTACATTAAACAGAAAGCTAACACTAAAGTGTAAATATAGATATATGGCCTCCTGATGTTAGCACATGAGCAAGTTGCCTTGTGTATGCATGACTTCAACAAAACACATAATGGACAATTGAAACTGGATATTGTTTTGCACAGAACGTCTCTGAGACTCTTGCAGTGTTTTATCAAACGTGTTGATAAATATAATGCACTTCTGGAGAATGAATGATTCACACATTAGCAATTTAAAAAATTGACGGAACAAGCTAACATTAAAAAATAAATATTTTTTTGTATTAATGTTAGTGCTCCTTAATGTGTTTGGAATCCTAAACTTGGGAATACTAAACTTGGGACTAAACTTGGGCTCTCCCTAATCTAAATATGCCTCACCACTTCCTGTCAAGGTCGCACCTCTTCCTGTTTCAGACCCACCCTTCCCTGATACCAGAACTGGAGTGACGTCATATTCTGGCTCCTGATATCTTCAGTTTCACAGAGTTTGGCTTCATGAAACAATGCTCGACATCCTCATGCTGTGCATAAGTCATCCAGTGTCAAGCAAACCCCATAGGAAAGCAATGAGTCAATGCTTTCTTATGGAAAAGACCCAATATGCACACAGCACTCACCACACATGCAAATTAGGTTCCTCCATTGGCTGATGTCAGTGGAGGAAGAGTGTGATCGAGCACCAAGAGACTTTGGTTCTGGAATCACTTAAGTGAAGGAAAGTGTTATCTCCTTAGTGAAACCATAGCTTAAAACCAAAAAAGTGACCAAAAAAGTTAACTGCTGGTCTTTGGAGATTTTAATAGTGATCAAAATAATAGTTCTTGCTTGCTGTTTAAGACTTTGCTGCTAACTCAATTAATCTGCTCCCCAACTCACATAAACATTAAAAGCCATAACCATACCCTGCTCGAAGGCTACTAAATCCTCTCCCAAGGTTAAAATCACCAGGTACTTCAAAAAATGTAATCTTGAATCCTTTCTAAATGACATCAAGAACCTTCCATGGCACAGATTAAACCTTCTCCCAGACTAGACTGTGCAGTTGAATTCTTTCAGTCTGAACTCCTACAAGTTTTGAATTTGCATGCGTAACGTGAGAGTAAAAGGGGCACATAAGAATTGGATCACAGCTGACCTCATTCAAATGTACCAGTTTTGGGATTCATTGTGGTCAAAGTTCAAGCGTACTGGCTCTATGAACCATCATTGTGCATATAGACAAAATATATGCACTAAACAAACAAAATTGGCCAAGGCCTAATATTTCAGTGAAAATCGGAACAGTAACATCTCAAACACTAGAAACTTTTGGAAAATCATAAATAATTTACTCCCCCAATCCACTCCCAACAGTCCACAGTCAAAGTAGACAACTAAACCATGCAACTCCCTATAGATGGAGCAAATGCCTTTAACAATTATTTTGTCGGATGCTCCAACACCCTGATTGCCAAGCTAATAAATTTAAAAAATCCTGAAACTACAAATATGGATCTGGACCCACTATTTGCAAAGACCCAATATAGACAAGTTCAATTTTAGAACTGTACCTATTAGTGTCATTAAGAAACACCTT